CTCTCAACGTCTTAAAGAAAACACTTTTATTTTCCAGGGGACCATATAACCCAACAAGCGCATATCGTTTGTTTTCCACCTGAATTTGTACCACCAAATAAAAACCCTCTGGATCACTTTTAATTATCTTTGGATCAAGTTTCGGATTAATATAAAAGGTCACACCTCTTATTTTAAATGGACACGCCGCTATAAATTCCATGCCTAATCTGGGATTTCTTAAATATTTAGCATCCTTATCTCTAATTCTACACTCCTGGAGGCAGCAGATATATAACTTTTGTTTTTGTAGATAATGAAAGACTTTCTTTTGTTTTTGCGGGGTATTTAAACCCTGTACATTTAGGGTGAGAATTTTAATTTGATTTAGATGTCCCATTTTCAAATTATTATATCTTCACAAATTGTTCAAGCAAAAAGTAAACAATAATTTTAGTGGGAAGGTCACAGTCTTCAAATTTAAATACCCAATATATTACCTGATTAAATCACTAATCATCAAAATATTCCTCTATGCCAATTGGTGAATTCACATTTACCACATAGCCCAAGTCCCTATTACTTTATCCTTCGGCTCTTCTCACTACTTCAATTTCCGATAGTTTTTTTAAGTCGATCTCTTGTTCTTCATCGTTGTCGTCTTCTTCCTCATCTAGTTCTTCATCTTCATCATCTTTATCCAACTCATATTATGTAAGTTCATCTCTCGAGTCTCTCAGATAATCAGCCGGGGCACACGCTCCTAAATCATCTACATTTTGTTGTACGTTTGCAACCTCAGTTCTGTCTTTAGAGTTATCCTCATCTTTATCTCTTGTGTGTTTTTTATGTCTACCCATATGTTGCCTCACAAATTTATTGGCTTGCTCAGGTGAAGAGTTTGTTTGTTTGTTTTTGTTCCACCAGAAACTCAAGCCTTCTGGCAATTCCCATCTATATGGGACTTCTTCTCTTCTAAGGAGACTTGTTAAAGGAGCATAACATCGGTGTTTCCTCAGAAGCCACCCCGGGATATCTTTCAATATTTTGAGAGATTGTCATTCAATTTGAAATGGTAACTGATTATGCCTTGCCAAAAATGAATCTCTGGTTTGTCTTCTCACAAAATTTACTATAATGTCCCTAGGCAATCTTTTCTGTTTTGCAAATGCAGAGTTAACTCGAAACAAAGTGTCTATTTCCAGGTACATACTTTGTAAATTCTGTTCCAGAAATTCTGCCATTTTAGGTATAACTTTGTCTGATAAATTTTCATCTTTTTCTTCCACCCATCCTCTTATTTTAATTGTCTTTTCCCTAAGCTTTTGTTCTAGAACAGCTATTTCATCCAAATCATTCTCTTCTATTCTCCATCTTTGCCATTTGTGACTCCGTTTTGTCACTTGTATATTCCAAGATTTCCACTCTTTTTTTTATGTTTTGCATCTCAGCAAAACATCCACTTTTTGGTTAATCTCCCAGAGGTCAGCCCGGATGTCTTGTCTGACCTCTCTCTTAAAATCAGACAACTGTAATGTAAAATTATTAGCCATTGAGTCCATTTTCTCAAGCAACAGTTGACTGATATCATTACTTTTTGTCTTTTCTGTGGAGAGACTTCTTTGGCTTTGGCTTTGTGAGGCCATTTTCTGTGCTTGGGCTCTAGTAGTCATTGCTAATAAATTATAATCCTGTATTATCTCCAATATTTGTGGAGCTTATCTTATCTGAGCCACTGTAGGTGTTCTGCCAAGGTCAAAAAAGCCTCTCTATCATATAACTAGAACTGAGGCACCGCGCCGATAAAGCCAAGGTTAAACTCGAATGGAGTCACAAAAGGGAGAGTAAAAAATAACCCGAAGATCAGGCAGGAAAAACTTCCGAAACAACAGATGTTTTAAAGTCTCATCCAAATTTATATATGGTAAGGA